GTGATAACACCCTTTATACGAAGTTCAAAGAGAAAATTCCATATGGTAAGCAAAAGTATTAAATTGTCGCAATGTTCCCCTAGCCCAATTCTAACCAGCCCATCATATACTTAAGAGAACAATATAGAAAAATGCTTAGCAAAGTGGTTCTACAAGTAGTTTAGAAAAAGTTTTTACACTTCTCAACAGTCAGTGTCGATTTAGAACTTAAAAATAATGAAAATTACTGTGTCATCACCAAGCAAGTGTAAATTTTTGTTGAATGAAATTACTGAATTCAATACTAAATTTAATTCAGTACTAAAATTTATAGCTATTTGGAGAAGCATTTTAATTTGTGGACTAAGTTTTTAATCAGTTTTCTATTTACTATTATAAAAATCAGAGCCTGAGAAGAAATTGCTAATAAATTATTTGCTAGTTATAACTGACTTGTAGGAAAACCCTCTGCGTCTCTACTTAACAATCTACAAACAAAGGAGTCAGAAAATTCAAGAAGCAATAAGACAACAACTGAGGTTCCCCCCCCAAATCAAATATATTCTGACCCTGGATGAGTCCTTTTTATGCATATACCCCTCCATGTACTATCCCTCACAATGGGAACAGGAGAAGCAGTTATGACTAATTGCTAATATTTCTGCCTCTGGCAGAAACACAAATGCTTGCTGATAGTGATCATTTTCCCAAACCCCAGTTTACATTTCTCTCCATTAACATTCCAGTGCCCAGCTCTCAGGTTCCCAAGATCCTATGGGATCCTTTGGTCTCCGAGTCAGAGACCAAACTGAGATTTGGGGGATCATTAGAACCAACTCCATAAAGAAGTAGCCAGCTCCCTAACTCCCAAAGAAATCATCATACACATCCACAGCTCATTTTAGTTTTCACTGGATGACACCCAATCTTTGTGATAAATATGAACCCAAGGACACCACCCCAAAGAACTTGTTTCTCTTACACCCACCAAAGGATAAAATGTTCTCAATGCCACCTCCTAAGATAAACACCTTTCCCCAAACATCCCTTTTAATTGGCTGGTTGATTGTCCCTTGGGTGTGACTGCACAGATTTATCACGGGTGTGTAACCAAGTTGGAGAAGTCTTCCTGATTTCTGTGTATCCTAATGAGAAAAACGGCGGCATACAATGTAGACTGAAACTACATTTAAGTGCTATGACCCTAGCACTTTGCAAAAATATACCCTCTCCCTGGGGAGACTGATCTGTGCTTCTACTATCCCTTCCAACTCTGTAACTCAACAGTCAGTTCTATAAGTCTGGCCACTGAAGGTAATGGAAAGATTCAACAGACCATTCTGCCAGAGGAGGGAGAAAGAGTAAGTTTATATAGCTTTTTATATTTAAAAAGCACTTACAGGCCACAGGTTGTAAAATGCCCAAATAGCTACATTCACCTCCCCTCAAATGTGCATGTACAAGTCTAGGGTAATTATAAGTTAAATATAAATAATTAGAATAACTTATAAGTAATTAGCACAGTAGGTTCTTTTCTCAGCATCCTCCTGTGAAAACCCTTAGGGTAAATTGTTACATCCTTGTTTCTGTGAAGCAAGTTACCCATTTTTTCCAAACACCCCTCAAACTTAGATACTCTGTTTTTGTCTGTTTCTAAAGATCAAACTGAAAGAGAAGATCCTTCCAGAATGACTGTGCTAATACTGCTGCAATCTATTCTGTCCTAAGAAGTCAGGTCTCTTCAATGGGCTCTTCCACCAAGAAACAATCATCACAGCCCATGGAATAAAACAGTGCATTAGAGATTTAAATAGTATTTACCATAACATAATGTGCACCTCATTCTTGGCGGTCAGTCACTGCCAATGTTCTAATGTTTATGCGAGATCATTACTGATTTCTAAATGCCAATATAGTTCCATTCTGAATGGGGATTACTGTTATCAGATTTCAAAATAAGGTGACTATATCACACACTAAGTTAACTCTAAACATATAGGAGTTATCACACCTCATTAATAGTCTGAATAACAATTTTATTTTCTAAGGTAAGCTCTCTTTTGCCTTAGTTTTTTAAAGTTTTATTTTGAATTTAATGATAAACTTTCCTTCAGTGTGACTTAGAAGGAAAGAATTCCTTTTCTTAAGGTCTCTCTCTCAAGTGATTTAGGAGATCTTTGGGAGACTTAAATTTAGAGACAGTTTTCTAAGGCTAAAATTATTACATGTGTAATAAGAAGGGGCCTGTTCAAATAAACAATAATGTTTTTCAAAGATGAGTACTCCATCAAGGTTAGAGTGTCTAATAATAAATACTGTCAGGTGATTATCTGCCTGATGAAAAATGTTTCCATTTCTCAGTGTACTTGAATAAGCATTCTTTTCTGCCTGAGGAGATCCCATATCATAAACTGACATTTAAATTTGCTAAATCTAAATAATGTGGACTGCAGAAGTTCATTACATGATGTAGTTTTCTTTCTACCCCAATTTTACGTACTTATTTTGAAAGGTGGTAGCTTTTTTAATCTTAGTTTTCTTTATTTTATCTGACAGAGTTCACTTCTGTTATTTATATCTTAAAACAGCAACCAATGAATGAGAAAGTTCAGTAACTTTAATTCCCATTTATTCCTCTTCTTGGATTTTATTCAATAGTTCCACTGAACATGCTAAATATTTACCTCTATCTAGCAAATATATATATATATAGGGATGTAGTTTTCTATTGTGGATGCCAGCAACTTATTGTCACTTTTAAAATTCAATTTTTAAAGGTTAAATTCATCCAATCTCTAAGATTTTTGATCCTCAACGTAACTGTTTAAAACGACAAAATGCTTTTAAAGTAAGGTATTTGTGAAACCCTTGAGAAATCACTAATGGGATTCCCATGATCTAATGCATGTAAGGCTTTAACTGTAATTGTAAACCCACTGAAGGCTTATGATCTGAAAGTATGGACTATTGTAGCCAGTTTTTATGGGTTTAATTCCACTGGCAAATCCCAATTTCTATATTTTAAGTCTCAACTAGAGCAAAATCACTATATACTCTCAAAAGAACAACCTAAAGAAAGCAAGCACTGGAATAATAGGGCAAGAACACCGCTGCCAATAACCACCCTCTCCCCCAACCATCAAAGAACTTCAAAAGCAAGACTGAGCAAGACTCTTAGTTCCTCACACATGTGCAGCTCACTTTTAACATTCACAAAGCTACACTTGAATCATTTTGTTTTCCTCAGATTTATTTCCCACACAAGGTTCAATAAAACTCAAAACTTACTCAGCCTTGACTGATGACTAGGCCACTGTCTTTCTGAGGCTATTTTTCACTCTTTTTCTGACATATTTTCTTCTATGATCCAATTCCGTGGCTGCTATAAGCTTGGAAAAGCTGCCTTCAACACACGGCCAAAGTCACTAAAAATGTTGTTGACCCTCTGTGTTTCATAGAGGCTCAGGAGAAGTTCTGTTTTGTCCTAGGGACCTCCAGGTCTGCAATGTCTTAGCAGGGTACATTGCGATTTGTGATTAAAATGAATCCTCTCTTTATCCTCAGAGGGATTTGAATCATTGTAGCAAATGATTATTTATGCTTAAAACAAGATTCAGCCTACCTTCTCTAGCCAACACCCATGTGCATCCAAAATTTACACAGGAGGGAGGTACAAATGTATAAATATCAAGGATGTCTAACTTGTTTCTGAAATTTCCTATTTGTTTCTTCTTTTGTATATATCTTGGTTCTGAATTTTAATATTACATGTCTTGCTATAGGCCATCAGGTCTAATTCGATCTTACAGAGAAATTTTAATTTATAAAACTGTAATTGAACACAGAACAGTCATTCATTTCATAACCAAATGCATGTAAGAACAACTTGGTTTAAAAAGCACTTTATTATATGTACTTATACGCATATCAGGGACTATAAGTGGATGGAATCAACAGAAAATAAAGGATTCCAAACATTACAAATTCAGAGTTCTGGGCCTCAGTGTTTAAAAAAATGCCTTTCAATTGCACTTCCTTCTTCACTTTAATTTTGGGTCTTATAAAACTATATTTTTCATGCCACCCATGCAGTAAGCATAACTTCAGAGTTTCTTTTGGTTTGGAAATACTGAATTTTTACCTTTAGTTGAAAACAGTCAATAACCGTTTTGATAAAACTTGTTATCACTTTTCTTCCTTTGTTCCGCTTTACTTAAGTTTCAGTAGCCTAAATCCGTATAATGCAGTGACACTTTGAAACTTGGAACTTCTCTTAACGTACTCAAAGTTTTAAATACCTTCGGATTTATTTTCTACGTAAACGGATTATCCCTATATGTGTTACACACACACACACACACACACACACACACACACACACACATCTTTCCTACTGGTTTTCGCTCTTATGGAGGAAGGAAGCATGATTTGAGGGGTGTTTTTATTGTTATCGTTTTTTATTCAGTGACTTAAAAATAAGCTAGCAACATAAGGAGGCATATTCCAGCACTACTTCCCTAGAGGGAGATCCCTTTACGTATATAGTTCATTGAATTCAGGATTTTGTTGAGAACCTCCAGATACTATTTGACTTGAAAACTTTCCAGTGGGGACAGGAGGAGGTCAAGGTGAGAAGCAATACCACTTCCTGCAACAATTATTTAGGCGCTGAACCAGGTCAAGTATTGAACTTTCTGACTGAAAACCACAACGTGCTGCGAAGGAGGAAGCGTTCTCCCGCGAGCGGATCAGCAGACTTTTGCACCCGCGGTTGGCTGCTAAGGACTCGCCTCCCGCGCTTCATTTCCAACCTTGCGATCCAAACTTTGCCTGGCCCTTCCCAGGTGGCAGACACCTTTGCCATGCCTGCCGCTGGCGAGTATAATCCCCTTGCAGGGGAGCAGGAGACTTCCCGGAGCCCCTTCCTCTCGCCCTCTGGTAGGAGAACTGAAGCAGTTAAACTCCCAGAAACTGCTGGAGAGAAGCTACCGCGTGCGCCAACCCCTAGCGGGGCTTCTTACCAGTACAAGAATGCAGGGGCTTGGGTCGCACGACCAGCGACGGGCAAACCGAGTAGAGGGAAAGTTTCTCAAAGTAGTCGCAGGTCTCTTTGGAGAGGATCTCGTCGATCATGAAAGTCTTGTAGCGCCGCCTGGCTGCTTTGAGCTGGCCGGGCGAGCTCAGCCTCAGCTCCGCGTGGCAATGCATGGTGAGCCGCGGCGAGCGCCCGCCGGCCCGAGCGCGGCTGCGACTGCCCGGCCGGCGGGGACCGCTGGGGCTGGCGCGTCGGCGGGAGCCTCAGCCCGGTTTCTCCGCAACAGGGAGGCCGCGGGATTCGGGAGACGCGCTCTACAGGGTACCCGAAACCTGGCACGCGTGTAGCGCGTCTAGACCCACCCGCAGATCAGCATCTTCGCAGAGCCTTTTTGGGACAGCGCTGCTGTCAATCAGCGCGCTCTGCCTGCAGGGCTTGTGCGGAGTCGCGCCAAGGGGCGGCAGCCGAGGGGCGTAGGTGCCCACCCCGCCCAGCCCGCCTGTGCTACCCGGGCGCTGACTTGCGCGCCGCGTGCCCGCCGCTCTTGCTCGCCTCCTCCCGCCTCTCTGTGTCTCGCGCTGTTCTGCCAGTCTCTCTATTTTAAGACACTAGCATTGGCTCTCCACCCCGCCCCCCCCCCGGGGAGCGCTCCAGGTGTGTGTGCACTGTGCGCGCGCGTGTGTGCGCGCGGTGCAAGGAGCGCGCTCCGCCCCGGCCCGCCAGCCTGGCCTGTGCCCGCTGCTCCCCAGCCCGTGTCCCACGCGCACCTCCTTAGCCAGGGTCTTGCCTCCCGCTGCGCCCTGCGTGCGCCGCCGGCGGGCGGGCACATCCAGGTCTCTTACTAGGAAAACGTGGCGTCTTGGCCCAAGCTTCCAAGCCTGGCGCCCCCTGAGGATCAGTTTGCTTTCTTCTCCTTCCCTGCACGGACCCCAATGGGCCGTTTTCTGAGGACAGCCACCTCCCGCCGGTCCCCTACATTCGCAGCCTGTGCTAACCCGTGCGCTCCGTACGCTCCGAACGCCGGGATTTTGCACTCAGCTTGCACACGTCTCCACTGCCCCACAGAGATCCCAAACCATAAATGACCCTTGCACTGTCCGTTATCCAAATAATAAAGTGCCAATAACAACAAAAAAGTAGACAAAAACGTACGTTCTTGTTTGTTTTTAAATTCTATTTATAAACTTTTCGTCGCCGGAAGGGCCTCCGCAACGCCACTCCGGGGTGCTGGTGAGCCCTGGGGCAGGCAGCAGGGTTCGCGGTTTCTCCGAGCGCCAGAGACTCCTGACAAGTGATGTTCGTTCCCAGGGCTCCCCACCACTCTTGGGGTTCCGGGAGCTGCAAAAACACGTCTTTACGCGTTTTTTTACTTCTTCCTTCCAGCTCCCCAATTCTAAGTCAGTTCAGACCTATAATATGGGAGGACTTTTGTTTTCAGCCGGCATTGTTGGGTTGGGGGAATCCCCAGGCAACCTGCGCGCCCTGGACGGCTCCGGCTGCTTCCCGCCTGCCACCGCGCCAGGGATGGCGCGAACCGGGCGAGTTTCCCACCACTGGGTCTAGGAATTGGTGTGCACAGAACGAGGGAAAAAACGCACCACGATACAGAGAATGAGAAATACAGGTGCGATGACCGTGTCGGTGACTTCCCTCGCTCAAAACGTGGACGCTAACCCAAGTCGTTGTCGGTTCCCGGCGAAGCTGCTCGCCCAGGATCCCAAGGCGCCGCGGCAGCAAGCGAACACGCGCGCTGGGGTCGGCGATTCAATTCAAAGGAAGGGACACACTTGGAGAACTAACATTTAGGCACTTGGAAAAATAGAGATTAATAAACCTAATCCGAGTGCGCCTTAGACGAGGCTCGCAAGGAGTCTGAGGTACTTCATTCCCGAAAGTTGTGTGTGCGCCCTGGCTGCGCGCTCCATCCCTCCTCCCCACTGAGACCAGTTTTCGTTTATTTTCCTCCACTCAGAGGCGGCTCCAGGGCACGGGAGAACTGCGGCCGGGTGCCAGTCCAAGGTCCGGAGTTCCTGCTCTGGGCCCCGGCTAGCCTATGGCTCGGGTGACTGGGCTCGGGTACCTGTCGGATGTCCGGCACCCGAGGACCTCTCCCGGCTCAGCGCCGGCGCCACGACCCGGGGCTTCTCCCGCGCGCCAGTGGAGAAGGGATAGGCTGCGTAGCAAGCCCGAGATGGGCTCCAGGGGCCCGGCGTTCCCGCCGAGGAACATCCCGGGTGGGAGTTATATTCGTTCCCAAGAAAGTGGGGGGCTGTCAGCAGCCGCGGAGAAACTGGCAGGATTCGAGAGCGCACGGCGTGGAGGCGACCTCACCCGCAGCTCGAACTGCAAGGCGTCTGGAGTGCTTGAGGCCCAGCACCCTGTAGGATGGCCACACCGTAACTCCCGAAGACTGGGCGCCGGGACTGAGCGTTACCCGCTGGGACTCGTGGTCTGGCCCTGCGGTGCGCACCCGGATGCGCGCGCTCTGCGCTCCTCTTTCGGGTTGCGTCCTCGCACAGCCCTCCTTTGCCTCTACCTCTTTTCGCCTCCACTAGAATTATTCCCCTTCACCTCCCCCACACTCTTCCCATTCCTTTCCCCGCAGCGAACATCTTTCCCCTTCCCCCTGCCATTTATCTGTGGCCCCCCACTGTCCCCAGCATTTTCGGCCTCCACTCCTCGGACGAACTCCACCCCCTTCTCTTTTCCCTCTTCTCCACCCCCTTCTCCCCACCTTTCCTCCAGTTTCTCCTTTTCCTTCTTCCTTCTCTTCCTTCCCTTGTTCTGCCTCTCCTTCCCTCTCTTCCAGCCGGCGCTAGAGCCCCGCGCGCCCCGCGCCTCCGCGCACCGCCGCGCGGAAGACAGCCGGCGGCCACGGGCGCCCACTGCGCCAAACCCCGGTCCTGCAGCGGCGGGGGCTCGCCTCTGCGGGCCGCTCCCCCTCACCCCCCCCACACACACTCGCTACTCTCATTGCTACAGGCTTCCCCTCAACCATAGGCAAAAAATTCGCTCAGACGTTCCTGCACATCGGTCCCTTGATTTTAGCTGTGCAGTGTTATAAATAGGTAAGGAAGTAATATATTTCTATTCAACTCCTGGATTTTCCATATTCCACTACAGAGGCGAGTGTAATCTCAGAAGGGGTCTGAGGGCAGGAGTCCCCGGGTGTAGTGGAGGGAGAGATTCCAGATCTGGGATTTTGGACCCTCTAGCTCTCTCTGTTGCTTATAATCAAAGTTGAACCCCCTTTTTTATTTATAAATGATAGCCATAATACCTACTCCACAGGCTGACCTTTCATAATCCATGTTTTTATAAAGCTGTTTCTTTTCATGGGAATGCGCCCCTAGACCCCTCCCTTGCCTCTTTTTCTGCCTAGAAAACTAGTTCAAGACCCATCTCAAATGTCACCTTATCTCTGAAAGAGGTTCCCCACTCCCCAAGGCTGTTAGTTGCATCCCTACTTCTGTTTTAGCGGCTCCTTTGCTGTAGTGTTGTCTGTGGTATGTGTTTCACATGGGGGACAATGAGCTCCTGGAGGACCAATACCCTGGCTGTTGTTACTCATCTTGTATCATCAGTACCAGCATAACTAACCTGGCATATCGTAGGTTTGCAGTAAACTATGTCATGAAGAAATGAATGCATGAAAGCTAGGATAATTATATAATGTGGGAAAAGCTCAAGTATATGATGGGACTTCAAATCTTCATTGGCTTTATCTTTCTCATTCAATGAGTCCCTCTCTCCTTCCTTGATTTTTTTTTTTAGCAGTGGCATCTAACCTAATTCCTATTTTGCTATTTTGCCCCATCTCCCTCTTTTCCAATTCCTCTCTCCTGCTGGCAGACTGGAAGGGGCTTCTGTGGGAGAAAGCACACCCCAGCTGTCAGTCACAAAGTGGAGCTTTGGTCAGGAATAGTCAGGGTTTTAGTTTCCAACATTAATGAAGTGGCTGGAACACCAAACATCTGCCAAAGAGACTCAAACCTTTTCCAGCTGCTGGGGACCCACAGACACTTCCCAGACTTCTGTGACTGGACCCAGACAGTGTCTCCCCCTTACCTGGGACGAACACACAGTCACACACACACACACACACACATACACACATGGGAACAAACCTGTCTACACTGAGCCATGCTAGCTGGACAAGGAAAGGGATAAAACTCCACACTGCCAAGAGGCTTCAGATCAGTCTCCTTCCCCTATGTGGCACCTGATTCCTGGGAATAGTGGGAATAGAACACAGCCGGAAAGAAGGGGACAAAGGTATCTTTGGACAGCTAGGAGTGTCTGATAGCCAGAAACCAAAGAATCTCTGTCCCATTTATACTCACACCCAGTATCTCCACTCAACTAGAACTCATGACATTTGATAAAATATTTTGTTAATTCTAAGGTGGTATTTAAATTGCAGCTAGGCTCTTAACCTAAATCAATGCAGCTTGATTTTTAGTTCAACTCTCCTTTTGTCGTCTTGAGCTATGTGTTGGTATAGCTCTTCAGAAGCAAGCAGGACAAAAGTCTTAGAAGTACACTAATTTAACCCCAATGATCTTTTCTCCAAAGGGAGGAGGGAGGGAAACAAAAACACTTCTTACATTCTGTAGAGTGTATTTAATAACTTGTATTTCAGTCAGTAAGTTTTGAAATAGTTTCAGACATGTAAAAGCAAAATAGGGAAAGCCTTGTAAGTTAATATTCCCCTGGGCCCCTGGGTCATGCCAAAACCTCTGTCTGTGCAGCCCAGCACTGCCGTCTTGCATAACAAGAAGTTAAGGAGGTGTACAAGGAGGCCAGCTTATATTTAATGATGATATTAATTTACAAAATCTGCTTTCAAACATTGCAAGGCGTCTTTTTAAGAGAGGCAAAAATGCAATCCACTTGACAAATGGACTTGGAAAGATCTGAATAGGTCCCTGTATCCTTTCTCAAAACATCTTCCTGCAGTAAAAGTTTACACTGGAGGGGCCGGGGGGAGAAGACACTGACTATATCTACAGAGCGTAGTACCTTTACATCAAGGGTGGAAATGCAATAAATCACTGAACTGTTACCAAAATTTTAGGAGATTGGTACAGAGATTAAAACTGTGGGGCCTTCCTGGTGGTGCAGGGGTTAAAATCAGCACTATCAAGCTATCAGCCACCACTGCAGTATGAGTTTGATCCCACACTAGGGAGCTGACCCATATGGCACAGCAGACCTCTCCTATCTTGCCTGCCTCTCCCTTTAGCAGTGAATTTCAGTAGATCCCCCTG